GTGCACCTCCTGAATCAAGTGGAGGTCCTGCATCTCAGCTTGAGATGTCAAAGGCCTTCCTGAAGTCCAGAAAAACTACATCGACCGTGACACCTGCGTCCAGTGATTTTGTGATCTGATTGTAGAAGGCAATCAGGTTGGTCTGACAGGACCTGCCCCTAATGAAATCATGCTGGTTGCCCCTGAGCATCGTCCCCACTGCTGGCCCTTCACAGATGTGCTACTTGATAATTTTCTCAAAGAGCTTCCCCGGGATCGAAGTAAGACTAAAGGGCCTATAGTTGCCCAGGTCCTCCCTCCTCCCTTTTTTGAAGATGGGGACCACGTTGGCCTTCTTCCAGTCGTCCGGCAACTGGTCAGAGCAACACGAGTGCTCGTAAAGCCATGCCAGGGGTCCCGCAATAACCCCTGCCAATTCCCTCAACACCCTAGGTTGGAGAGCATCTGGACCTGCTGATTTGAACATGTTCAGCCCCTCCAGAAGTTCTCTAACTCAGTCCTCCCTGACCTTAGGCCTGGCGGAGTCTCTCGTGAGTCCATCCCAAATTTCGGTGTGGGAGTCCTGGTCCCTGCACAAAAAAATGGAGGCAAAGAAATTGTTAATGTGGTCTGCTTTTTTCTCTGGCGCAACCACCAGATTGCCTAGCGTATCGTACAGGGGCCCCACATTACCCGGTGCCTTCTTCATACTCCCTGTGTATTTAAAAAAGGACTTTTTGTTGTCCTTGATCCTTAATGCTAGCCCTAGTTCCGTATCTGCCTTAGCTTTCCTAACAGCCCCCCTACAGACCCAAGTGATGGAGATATACTCCTCTTTGGTGATAGCCCCTCCCTTCCACTGGGTGTATGCCTCCTTTTTGGCAATAGACATTCCTGAATGCCTTTGGTGAGCCAGGGGGCCTTTTGAGCACTCTTGCCCCCTTTGATTCTCATTGGGATTGTCACCCCTTGGGCTCTGAGTATCGTCTCCTTAAGGAATGACCACTCGTCTTGGGCACCCAGTTCCCCTACTCTCCAGGACCCCAGTGCCTCTCCTACCAATCTCCTCAACTCACTGAAGTTGGTCCTCCTGAAGTCAACAGCTACTGCCTTGCTGCAAGCCCTTGACACCCTGTGCTGGATGGTGAATTCCAGCAGGCGATGATCACTGTCGCCCAGGTGGTCAAGAACCTGAAGTCCCCTCACCAGGTCATTGCCTGTGGCCAGGACCAGGTCCAGCAGGGGAATTCCCCTGGTGGAAATGTGCAACTCCTGGGTTAAGTGGAGGTCCTGTATCTCAGCAAGGAAGCTTGTTTAATTCCTTTTGACACTGGGGCAAGCGCACACTCTAGGTACACAACCTCCATACTAAAACAAAACAACAAGGATATTGGACAAATTCAAAACAAATCATAGAAAGATCACTACTTGAATACAGCAACAAAGGGATCTCCCAGACATCCCTCAGAGATATGCCATTATTGCTATACAGACAAGAACACATTATTGTGTTTTGAGGCGCACTGGTCTTCCAGTAGTATGGTACACTGCCTTGAATTATGATCTCTCGTTGCTCATCGCAGAGTTCCTGCTTTGAGCTGGTTCAAATTCCTGCCCTCTACAGTAACAATAGGAGTAAAGAGGATGAATCTATTACATAGTATATTTGATGACTCAAACTGAAATTCTCAGAATAATCGCACATGCTTAAGATAATTTTGTATGTATTGATGTGTTTGTGACCCAAATGAACAAATTTGCAGTTTCAGTTTTGTAATAACGTTATGTATGGAGATCACCTATCTGTAGAGGAGAATTTTCCCACAGAATATTGGATTACACTAGTTTAAATTTTTTGGTAATTGACTCCCTGAATCTTGATAGGCTCCTCTCCACAACTTTCCAGTCTCTTTTTCTAACAGACACTTCACATTCCTGTCTCCATTTCCACCTTCCTATTTCATTTTCCTTTTGGAATTTTTTCTTAGATATAGCATTGTCTCTGAGAAGCAAGCCAGGTGAATAAAAATAAACAATTTTTTAAAATAAAAAAATACCCAGAATTTTTTTCAATCGGATTTTAAGATGATTTTTAAAAATAAACCTATATAAAGATACGTTTAATTTAAAATATGTTGAAGCTCAAAGATGTCATAGAATAGTGATTATAACTTTTAATTATATACTATTTGAGACCGTATATTTATGTAACCTTTTTAGAAAAGTTTTATAAATAGGTCACAACAGGACATGGACTATATTAGAGGTCCAATCTTATGGGGTTCCTAGAGGCTTCTCTGTAGATTAGTAAAGATTAAAGAAAACCACTCGACCCAATGAGACTCAGTGCTCAGTCTAGAGGGTCCCATGAAGCATCTCTGTGATGCTTAGTTTCAGTAATCAAACTGTGGATTTGTGTTTCCAGAGATAATATCCTTGCTAACAGCAGTATATGGAGATGAGAAATAAGTTACCTGATTACCTACCCATCAGCCGTATTGTCTCTTTTCAAGGTTATGTACACAGAATCAAGCCCTTACCTCTCTCTAAAAGTGCAAAGTTTAAAGTTAAATGAATAAACGATTGTTGTGTGTGGAGTAAATCTGGACAAGGAGGAGGAGTCTGGAGATAAATGCAAGGAGGGAGGGGCAGTAGAAGCAAGAGAGAAACATTTTGAGCAGAATAGTCCAGAAGTCTTGAGGGATAAATTTTTGGGTATAGCCTCTCCATTGATTTGAGATCTAGCAAGGGCATGGTATGGTAGAAGGCAAAACCGATCATGGCAATAATTGAAAATTCAAAAATGCATATTCTTGTTTTGTTAAAACAATTATACATGTTGTTGAAGAAAAATATCAGAAATACATAAGCTTGTTTTAGTGAAATAAAACAATTTTTAAATATTTGTTGTTTTTGGTGACTGTTTTTATTGTCCTTGTAATACAGCATAGTAAAAATATGCCCCAAATATCCATGATTAATCTAGTGAATTAGAGATCATTGAGAGGTGAACTACTTTGCAAGTATCCGCTTCAATTAGGTTTGGTAAATAAAATAACCAAATAATAATTTAGTTTTCTGACATAGCTGCAAAATTAATCTGAAAAATATCAAAATAAATCACTGCTTTGAAATGTATAGTGTGTACCTTCCAAAAATGAAACCTACATCTATCCCTGAGTTGTGAATAATATGTATGACGGTTATATCAGACAACAAGAATGCACTTTTTGTCAAAAACCATTATTAAATTAGGGTTTCCTGACCAATGATTTAAGTAATGATTTAAATATATATGATTTGAATCAAATCCACCCTGGAGGCACAATCCCTTAGTTTCTTTTCTACAACTATTCTACAGGAACTGCTTATGGGGCATGGTTGAGCCTCTTTTGCATACCTCTTAACGTATGCTCTTCTGATAGTAACACAGAGGTGAACCAGTGGTTTCTCTATGTAATTCTACTATTTCTATTTCTTAAGACTTAGTAACGGTCCTGTATTCTTCAAATACTGTGCTCCTGGAAACAAAAAAATCTTAAATTTCAGAAATATGTAGTTGCTCTGGAGCTGAAGTCATCGAGAAGTCTCATAGTTCTGCAGGGTTGGGAAAGGGCAACCAGGCCCTTCAGCAAGATTTTTGGGTCCCAGGCTACCACCCACCAAAAAGTAGAGGTTGTTAAAGAAGCAACTTGCCAAATATTGTAAGAGAATTCATTCTATAACTGAGCAAAAGACTTATGCTTGTTTTTTGTCAGACCGGGTTCATGTAGTCTTCATTTGAATTCATCAGATGGGCTGGCTGACTAGATTGGCTGAAAATGCAAAAAGCTGCATAGAACTGAGTTGCATAACTATGACCTATAAATGTATAAAAATAATGTAAAACTTTTTGTTTCCATGTGCTGTTCTAAGATTGAAGATTCATTTAACTGCACTGGGGTGGGGGACTACATGTTAGGGTATGTACAGCAATATTTCCATGCATCTGTCTCCTTACTGATGTATAGTTTTGTTAAATAATGTTTTCATTTTTGCAAGGAATTGCAGTTGTGTGTGTGCTTAATGTAGAAAAGAACCGTTAGCTGAACTGAAAGTATAACTGTGGTGGTACTCTTACAGATACTAATGGATCAGATAACTCCATCCCAATGGCCTATCTTACACTAGATCATCAGTTGCAGGTAATAAGTATATGCTTTATTAGATTATGAAATTTTAATTCATTTCAAATTATTCTAGAAGTGATGATATTGTTACTGACTGCAATTTTTTTATGCTTATGTATGTATGTTTTTATTTTTGGCCTAACTTTTGAACAAGGCTAAAAAAAATCTGCAATCTGAGATTGCTTGACTCAGATTTGATCAAGCTATTAAAAACAAGTCCAGGGAAATATGATCTTTTAAACCAATTGAAATCTTCAGTTAACCATCTGAATAAGAAATCATTTGTTTGAGGTCATAGATTCAAATTGCTGTATTCTCATTCAAACTTTATGTGCTCTGGATGGTTAAACAGTACTCTAGTCATCATCCCTTGAAAGAGAATGTGTTAGAGCAATAAATGTAGATTTTTCAGTCTGAGTCAACTTTGGCAACAGTGCACTGAGATTTTCCAGGGCATGGTTTAACACTTATTTTTAAAAGCTTAGTAGTTTCTGAACCCTGGTAGAATGTCTGTAATTATTTATAACACACTGTTTATTGAGATATCAGTTGATTAGTTTTTAACATGTCTGATTTATTTTCAGCCTCTAGCACCATGCCCAAACTCCAAAGAATCTATGGCTGTGTTTGAACAGCACTGTAAAATGGCACAAGAATATATGAAAGTTCAAACAGAAATCGCATTGTTGTTGCAGCGAAAGTAAGTAAAACATTGTGAACTTTTCTGACCTCATACTTTCAGATTCCTTTTCCACTACAATAAACCTTGCAACCAATTGAATTCTTTTAATGCAGTAACATCTTATAGAGAAAAGTTAGTCATTCCCAAATTTATGATCTTTTTGAAAAATAATGTTTCAAGCTTTTGAACATAAAGCAGTTAGCTACTAAAAGTAGTTGAGAGATTTCAATCTCACAATTTTGTCACATCCATTCATGACAGCCTGTAAAAACTGTTTACTTTTGTTTTACGTCCTTGTAAGGCATCGTGCAGTTTAAGTTCACATAATACTTGACCTAGCAGTTTATTTACATTTTTAAGGCTTAATTTGTACTTATTTGGGCAATGTATTTTAGCACAGTGGTTAATTACTAGGTGTTTCACATTTTGGCAACTGTTTTTGGGTTGTACTCTAGCATCTGAATGCTGTATATACTAAGAAATCACAACGTGCTTCTCCAGGGCTTCTTTCCCATGGATTTAAGCCATAATCCAGAAAAATACTGAAGCATGTGCTTGCCTTTAAACACTGGAGTAGTCTTAGTGATGTCAGTAGGACTGTTCACATGTTTGAAGTTTAAGCATGTGCTCAAGTGCATTGCTTGGTAAAAGCCAAAGTGATTGCTGGATCAAAGCTGCATCCTGCAATACATCCCCTTGTGTTCTGCCTCCCCTCTCTCTTGGCTTCTGACAATTTCTTGATGATGGGGAAGCATCAGTGAAAGGTCACATGTACCAAGAAGTGGTGGAAGTACAATTGTGAGCAACTGGCCTACTTGCCATCCAGTGTCCGAGGAAATGCAGGCAGGAAGTGTGAGGCTCTCAGTCCTCTTAAAGAGCAGATTGTCTTTTGGTTTTTCTTTGGTGTGGCCTACACAGAAAACCAGAGGCATCTGTGACACTTATGTGGAGGCAGCAGGAGAAGCACTCTGTAATGAGGCTTCTGCTTTGACAATTGGAGAAAAGGAAGAAATATGGTAACTCAGTTAATTTTCACATTCGCAATCAGAGGACAAGATTTCTCATATATTGGTCCCTGGGGCTGTTACTTAAAACTAGGCAGTGTTGGGATTAACATATTTATGGGGGGAAAGAGTTAAATAGTATTGTTTCTGCACATTCTTAAAGTGTGGGCTTTGAAATGAGTGTTATTAATTGCATGCTTCTTGTCCTATATATAAAGTACAGTTTTATTCAGTTCCCCTTCATTTCCAGGCAGTGTGATCACGCAGTTCTTCTATTTTTATTAATACAAGTGAAATTTCTTTCTTTTACCAATAATAAAACTATCCATATGCATTTTAAAAATATAATGATATATGTGTGTGAATAACACCATGTCTTAATTGTTGATGAGGCAAATAAGATGTTATGGCACATCTGTGTTTTGTTTACTAGAAACTAGCATATTAACTTTGTTCTTTACCGTTTTGTTGCTAAACATTGCTGGCAAATTTGTCCTTCATCACTTCATAAACCAGGGGTGGCCAACCTGGACCTGTGCTACAGGCAATGTCTATGTGGCACGTTGGGTAGGGATAGAGGAACTCAGTGACGGGGCAGGGGGAAGAAAACAGAGCAGGAGATCAGGCAGGGGAAGGTGACCAGAATGGCACTTGAGGACATCATGGGGCATTTGTGGCATGCCTGCTAAAAGGTTTGCCCCCCACCATAAGCAATTAGAAAAAAAAATGGCATTCAAGTGAGCTTATTGAGAAACTATTTTGTAAAGCCAGTTTGTAGTAACTGTTCGTGTTTATTTGCTCCTCTAAAAATAGTTGCTGGAAAACATATTGAATGCTTACTGCATCAATTAACTGAGATGACAGTTGTGAAAATAGTCTGCCTGACTCTTGTTTCCACTATTTTAACAAGAGAGTTGCTTAAAATAGAAAACTGGCTGTTTTGAGAGATGTGAAAAATTCCAAGAGTTAGTTTATAATTTTTCCAGAATATAATAATATTTCTACTATATGATTGCATTTGTTCGTGCTACAATGATTTTTTCTATCTAGCACTGTAACATTTAACAGCCTCATTTCTTGTTGGAATAAAATTAAAAATATAGTTAAATATGTAATATACTTATGGTAACTTTTGTACAGATGCACTATACTATTGCATTTTAAAGCCATTATAAAAAGCATGACTTTAGAAGCAGGTGATTATGCTCTGCAGCTTTGAATGACTGTGGCTATGATTTAAGAGTAAATATTTCCCCTGTATGTTAAATTACAAATTGGTAGGATTTTGTCATATTACTTCATGTTTTTCATGAAGATATAATGATAAACCGAATACAAATTTTAATTTGATTAAAACAAAATTATAGAGCAGAGGCTAAACACATAAGCAAGTAGATATGAATGTTTTTTTTCTCCATAGCATATTAATGCTATCCTTTGTTGTTGTTGTTGTTTTTATTATTTTTAGACAAGAACTAATAGCAGAACTGGACCAGGATGAAAAAGACCAGCAAAACACATCCCGTCTGGTACAAGAACATAAAAAGTTGTTAGATGAAAACAAAAGTCTTTCAACATACTACCAGCAATGCAAAAAACAATTAGAGGTCATCAGAAATCAGCAACAAAAGCGGCAAGGCACATCATGATTCACTGGGACCTTTCTGATGAAAAATATGCACACAAAAGACTGGTTTTTTTATTATTCCTTATTTTGACAACTGATGAGTGTTAGCTTCTTGGTGTGTTCTGAATGCCTATATTTGTCTGCTACACTTAAAACATCATTTAATTTTCCTTTTCCTATGATGGACATTCAGTTCAACAAGTTAATCAAATAAGGTGGGAGAAAATTGACTTGAGTTAATCAACGGCACTCAAGTTAAAGCAAATACAGTGAACTGTGGCTGTATGCATGCTCCTTGTGTGAAGGCTAGCCTAACAGATGTTAAAGTGGCTGCTAAATTATAAGATCTTGTTTTTAATTTTTGGTGTTACCTCGATAAGAGCAAAACACAAACTCTTCTGGTTTAGAATGGTTTTGTTCTTGTGTCTCATCTCAAGGAAATTTACAATGACAGTCATTTTCAGGATTTAAACATGTACCATACTGCAGAGATGATGTTGTTTGACCAATAATTCACAATGCATTAGTGAGACATTTTACCTTTAGGCTTGGTGCATTTTTTCAGATGGAAAATATTAATCAAACTGATGCCAGCATTGGTTCAGAACTTGATGACCCTGCATTTTGACTGAAATGTTTCTTGTAATCTTGTATTCATAAAATATTTGAAGTAAAAGATTATTTTCTTTACTTTCATGTGGGGGATTGACGTGCAGGGGGTGGCATGCAGTTTTATCTAATCATACTGAGCAAAAAGTATTGTGATTCATTGGGTAAAAAGGTCTCATATAAAAGAAACCAATCAGAATGTATACAAATGCGTGTTGAAGCTTACCACTTTTGTGCCTCTATCATCATTTTCAGAAAGATATTCAGAAAGCAAATGAACATAAAGGTTATAGAATCATTCCCTCTATAATAGTTAATGGGATATTTTTTTACAATCTATTTGAAACACTGAAAAATATGGCAGCATTCACCATAAATGTAAATCAGTTTGTTTCCAGTAAGGAACTGGAGGCTGCTGAGAGAATTTTATTTATTTTAAATACAAAATCTTGTAATGGAGCCAGGAATGCAGATGGAGGAAGCTGGCATAAGAAAATGAGAGAAATTACTTAGGTCTGAATCAGGAATCTTAGTTATTCCAGTCATTTGATCACAGTTCAAAGCAAGCCCATCATAGAATGCCTGCTGCCCTTACTAATAACAGAAGCGTTGCATATAACTAACTCAAAGCATGAAATGGTCAGTATCTTTAATAGCCGTGATTATGTTGGCAGAAATAACGACTGTTTACAGTAAAAAATGCTTATTTGGATTATTTCACCTGGTAGAAAAATGAGGATTTTTTTAATAGTCATAACTTATTTCTTAAATAAGCTGTTGGTGGTTTTTAGTAGCATTAATATTTTGTAATGAGAAAATAGAAAATGAAAATTTAGATGTTGTGTCCTCAAAATACCAGAGATGAGATAAACATTTGATTATTTAATCATTGTGCTTTATTTCAAATGAGTAATTATTGCAAGGGCCTGACCGTTAGATGAACTTAACAGGATAGTAGTAGTAAAAAACCTTGCAATTTTCCTCTTCCCCTCTTCTATCTGATAACCTTTGATATTACTGTGTGAGTAATTAAAAATATCAAGGATGAAAGATAATTTACTGAATGGCTTCATTCTGACTTCAAAATAAATCTATTATTTGAGAATCGTTTGGGAGTTAAAGCCCTTCCTTCATTTTATTTAAATAAAAGAAGGGTTATCATTCCCGAAACCTTAGCAGATAATTTCATTAGTTAGCTGAAACTGATATTGGGATCAACTTAAGGGCACACATATTTATAGCAAAATGTAATTGGCAAAGAAAATAACTGTAGTATTAGGAATAGCACAAGTTATCCAGAGCATTGCTCTTTGCATACATCTGTCCATCTACCAAAATGGACACTGTCAGTGTTCAGCAGCTTTCTTAATGTGTTTAAGCATGAAGTAGAGCAGCATAAATACTAATGGTTGACTTCACATGCATGGTTAATAATTAGAAAAGGAAAATTGTTTCCCAGGACAGTTACTGGGGTTTTGCTGTGTCATAATATGTTAAAAAAAAAACAAACAACAGTACTAATACTTCATGTGCAAAGTCACTTTATGGCAAAGTTAGATTAATGGAAGTGAAAGCAATGCTAACATCATTTAAGGGTACATAATATGAAAGTCTAATTTTACAGTTGCTTATAACTTCTTAAGTTTACATTTAAAAAGGGTCTTGGATCATGAATACTGTACATTTACTGTACACTGTGGAATTCAGCTCTGTTAAATATTTAGATTGTATTGCCAGTCTAACTAATTTACAGAAGGGAATATCTGCTTTTCAGCCCTTCCTCTTCAAATTCCACCAAAAATTGAAACTATTTACCCTACTTTGTTAGTGACGTTTTCTCTGTGAGCAAGATGCATATACACCCATCGTAGAAAATCTGATGGACTTTCTAATGGCAATCTTAGCTAAGCAGAATTAGCAGTTTACCATTGAGTGACTTTAGCATTTTCAAAAGCTCTTGTTTTGAAGTTGTTTACAAATGTACTTTTATCTTTCTGCTTAAACTATTTTGGAGTGTTCAGGAACTATTTCAGGTCCTCTTCTATTCAGTTAAAGCTACTCCTCTGATCATGGAGGTGAAACATCTAGTTTTGTCCAGGCACTGCCTTTTCATTCTCAAAACAGTAACAGGCTCTGCTTTTGGTTAATGTTTTGTGTAAAATATTGTGTAATGAAAGTATGCTTCTGTATACTGTGCTGTTCTACCAAAAATGCTTTTGTTTTAGGCTTTATTTTTGTTTTTGTTTTTTGATGAAAAGTTGAAGATTGTAATTCAAAACCTGTACATAAAATGGTGAATGATTTCATATGATCTAGGAATGAGCAGTGTGGCTTTCTGCTACAGGGGTGTATTACACTACCAGGAATATAATTAATAAAAGTGAGAGATTTCAACAAAGTTGTAATACCCTGACACTTGCCAGGGCATCCCAGATCTGTGAAGGAATTCCCCTCTCCGCCCCCCTCAGGGTAGGAGATGGCTTTTGAGCAATTGTTCTTACCATCAAAAGAAATTGCTTGTGTTCTTGCTGTCCCCTTGGTGGCATACAGAGGTACAGCTGTGGACAGGCAGTTCCTGTAAGCTGCATATCAGGAAACAAAGAACCTTGTGCCTTCAATATTCATGCTCCCTATTCTTCACCATTGAATCTTCCCTTAACGATCCTGTTTCATCGATATTTACCTTGTTCTGTTCCTATCACACTCCTTTCCTTCCCTTTGTAAGAAGCTTCAGCAGAGTTATGTAGATAGTCTTCAGTAAATCCAATGAAAATCATCTCTTTGGGTAACACAGGCCATTTGTACATGTGCTCACCACTTTCTAATCCATGTCAGCTGATTTGAATTACACAGTTTGAATCAAATTTCAATTTGAATTAAGGGTTAATAGATGATCATTGACCATCAGCCCCTTAATAGACCCAATTTGCAGCCTCTATGTATGGGCTTATGGTTGGACGTAATTAGGAGGCAATAATAAGCCTGTTAAAGCACTGCTACATTGTTATGAACCTACTGAGAGTTAGATAAAGTGCTGTTCCAAAAGCCATAACAGATGCACTTGACCTCAGTGTTGATGACCATCTCAGCCAATGTGTTGGGGGGAGAGGGCAAGGGGGCTTTCCCCTTTCTTCACAGACCAGTAGCCTGCATGCTTGGACAGGACCCCAGGCTGTCATTGGCACGTTTGACTTCGTAAAGGTGTTACTTTGTGCCTGATAGCCTGTGTGGTGTTGCAGAAACTCAACTGAGTTTCCTTTGCAGGGATTGATATTTGCAATGCTTATATGATGAGTTCCTAAAGTTTTTTTTCCCTAAAATCAGCGCTGCATATACATATTGGTTAATACTGTTTAAATGGCCTAGTTCGGACTGGAGCCAATCTTAATTCAGACTACAGGTGTCCATGTGCATACAGTACTCTGGATTAAACCTAGAAAAATGTAACATCTATAAACAGCTGCTATGCCTACCCCAGATCTCTCCTAAAGCCAGGGGACTGCCCTGTCCAGTCCAGATATTTGTGGTGCCCTGTTCAAACCTACTAAAAACATAGCAATAAAAGCAGTAGGGGGCAAACGTTCAACTGCTGGGGTGACTGCGCTGCACTGTACGGCTGAGAGGAGAATCCTGCTAAGGTAGGTATCATAGAAATATTATGTGGATTTTTA